ATATGTTTGCGTGTTGCATTCGCTGCCCTCTTTTTGTTTAATAGGGCTTACGCTGCGCGAAACGCTTTTATGTTTCTTTTCTGTGAAATATTCCTTTTTAAAAAAAATCTTATTTTGATATTGTCATAATATTTATGAACTTTTATTTTACTAATATTCCGCTTGTTTACATTTCGGTGTTTGGGTTGCCTTTACAGTTTAGTCCCGCTAAAAATATGTCATTTTTTGTTTTACGCGCTCTATGCCGGCGCTATATAGCGCCTGCAATTAACACATTTAATTAAATTTAGGAAATGTTTAGACTTATTTCTCTATGCATTATTCACTATCCATCCTTCTTTCCCACCCATAAACCCCCAAATCCCACCAGTCCCGTAAGACAATAGGCTGGGGTTTTAAAAACCTGGATGGGGCTACTCAAGCTACTTTTGCCGAGATGGGGTTTCTTGGATAAGCCAATAGCTGCGAGGTGATTACCACCTGAAAACAACTAATGACATTCCATTTTGAATTATGAGCCATGCCTTAGGAGTTTTTCAACTGTCTGCTCCTCTTGCTCAGTTACACTGCTGGCTCGTGTTAACTGACAACACCACATATGAGTGTATTACTTGAAACAAGCGAGTGGTCGCCTACAACTGTGTCAACGACTCCTTTGAAATTTTCGGCTGTGACGATGCATTTCTTAAGCACTATGTACCAATAGGGAGTTCAAAGGCGTTTGCCTATGTTTCCTTGACTTGACTTGACTTGACTTGACCACCGAGAAATATCCTGAGTTCGGTAAAATCAACAGATGACACCGGTTGCCAGACAGCAAACAAGATGCAATAGTAAAACTTACTGGGTTTCGGTGAGCCATTCAGGCGAAGGAGACGAGTTTTCGAAGGGTCCCCAACAGGCTGTCAAAGGGAGACCGGAGGAGCGGTTAAGTAGGTACTGGATCCCAAATATGGGTGTCCCAAAATTCTTTGCACCCAAATAACACAGTCACCGTTTCTAAAGTAATATATTGAAATACTTGCATCCCAAGATATTAATTATGAGAATAAGACTTTCTTTTGGAAATTTCTCAAACAAAGTCTTATTCTCATAAAGTAATATATAGTTCACAATTTACTTTACATAAAATTTTCCTTTAGGACAGCTCCTAGTCTGGTTGATATCGAATGAATGAGATTATGAAAGGTCTCCAAGAGGATCTTCCTCCATGCGCCCAGCGGGGATCTCTCCAATCCAGCAACAGTGGTAGAAGTGGACAGCGTCAACCATATTACCAAAAATTAACTATAGATTCTCAACTGGATTCGAGTCAGGACTACTTGCTAGCTACAGGTCTTTCCTGTAGAAATGTGGAATTTTCTCTGGCAGCTACTATAAAGAAATCATCGAACCTCTATACTGAGGTTTTCATACAAAATGGAAAGGCTGGTCTAATATTACTTAGAAGGGATGACTCACAAGTGGTCAATAAAGGACGTGCTTCCGAACAGATTACTGCAGCAGGACATCGTTCACAGTCGCAAAAACACTAGTGAAACAAGTTGCAACTTTTGCAGACCTGCATGCGGAAGTTTAACGTAGTTCTACGCAAAGGATGAACAACCAATTAATCTCTCAAACTTGTACTTTGGGAAATGCCCTGTTCCTTAATTATGCTGCTTAAAGAAAGGGGATATACTGGGTTTTATATTGTGAACTCGGAGGATTTCGAGGACGCTCGTGAGGCGATTAGTGTATTCTGCTATGCTGACAAGGCAAATAAAAAAATATGCAGTGAAAATTGTGTCAACTGTGCTAACTTATGAGCACTAGGAAGCATTTTATGAGGCCATATAGGTTTAAGTTAGCCTGCCGCAAAGAGAATGGGTTGTGTGTAGTTTGAGCAATTGAAATGTAGGAGAAAAAAGGCCGGTCTTGGTTCCGACTAAACAGGTAATAATAAACGCGCTTAAAACCATAAATCATTTTCGTACGGACGTTTAACTTCTTATAAAGTGAACCGTTGCTAACTCCTAATGGAAAATATTATAGATATATATAGATATAAATATGTCGGTTACAGGACTCACTCGTCCCTTTGTGCATTGATGGTCATTTTTGAGACCCAACATGTATATATAGATGCGAAAGAGGTTAATCGTACTCCCGACAAAGATATTAGTTAAAAGCACAGACATGTGTTGCGACGATGTTTCTGCTGATACATGAGGCAGCAACAAGAAGGTCGGATCCTCCAGCGTTTCCTATGCAGTTTCTGTTATACAAAAGCGACTTAGAAGTAGCCCTTTCGTGTGTGTGATTCGTGCTAGTGCAAATATTTCCATTATCCACTGTAAGACGTTTGATTTGTGTGAATGTTTCCTGCCAACTAGTTCTGTAACTTAACAAAATTAATATCATTTAGGAGGTTTGGCAGATTTCCTTAATTTAGGTTGACCCAATTGTGAAAAAACTCGCGGCATTCGGCGGATTTTAAAGCCGCATAGTAGGGAAGGCCTTTACGCGAACCCAATGCTCTCCCAGTTGAGCTACAAATTCCACTTTCACACTGTGAGTTTAATCACACTTGGATCGATTTTACCCGCCCAACTTCACTGCTCGCATGGAATCCACTATAACGGAACAGCAAGCTGACTGTCCAAGCAGGATTTCCTAAGCGATCATCTAGAATTCACCAGAATGACTATAAGGCTTAAATTAAAGCGATATTACACCAACGACTGGAGCAAATCAATCATTTACTATGGAATATCCAACATAAACCCGCATACACAAGCACTAGTGACAGACACCTACGCTATTTGGATGACTAAAATTCGGCAAAGAAAGGCAAAGTTCCCGAAGGCGAGGTAAGAGACTGTGATCACCACCGCGATACCGATCGTAGAGTAGAAGCTAAGAGCGAAAGAAAAAGAGAAGCGCATATAGTTCAGATTGAGACAGTCCGTAATAATTCAAATACCTTTGAAAGCAAAATGGACATGAAAAATTTCAACTACAATGTGACAGCAAAGGAGGTATCAGCAGAAAGGATGGGAGAAGAGCTACCACTAGATAAGGGGGGGGGGGAACGTGATGACTAAGACGACAAATTTTCGCTTACCCTCACGCTGCCTTCCAATCGCTTTAGATTAATCGGCCTTTAGAACTGTTTCAAAACGATACTACCAAAACTATTGCTATTGTTTCCCAAACGGCTATAAACTGGGTTGAGACCGAGTGCTAAAAGGCTGGATTTTATGAGGAACACGAACTCCAGTGAGAGTAAACCGTGCCTGAATCGTTAAGGTATAAGGCAAAATGGCCGCAGATTAGCTACTTCGGTATGGATCGCTTCTGTTGCCCTCAGTCGGATAGGGCTATGGGAGAGTCACGTAATACAGGTGAGTACGAAGT